TTTTTTTAGAAATGAGGAAAGAGTCAGTCAAATGTAAGACGGGCGGAAACAAATACTCACCCAGAAGATTCCAGGATCCGACGGCAGAATCTGAGTTGCTGGTCGATGTCGCAAACAGCCGAAACAAAGTACGCGGGCTGGCCTCAAGAGGAGGAAGACGAGGAGCCAGCCTCGGGTGGTGTGTGTGGGTGCGACATAAAGTCAGCATCGTTCAGCTAGAAAAGCGTTCGGCTGCCAGTCCGCACGCACGCTGCTCCTAAAAGGCAGACAGAGTTTGCTGTCTGAGGAAGCAACGACAGAGTATAGCAAAAAGGAAACAATAGTTAACGACGCCGCCTTTTACGATCGCCATCCGGGCAGCGCGCGCTGAGCCAAGTGCCAATGCGTACGGAAAATTGAAAGTTCATTACCGTGAAGAATGTAGTTCCGTGTTGTATGATAGTGTTCTCGAAAGTCACCTGAAGGCCAATGCGAACATCGGTGACAACGCAAACATACGTGAACATTCACCGTCCCGCTACCCTATGTTAATTAATTTACAGCCATGTGAATTCCAACACTCGCGTCTACGGTTCCCAGGAAATTTCCGCTGCGATCAGAGATTAGGTTGCAGAAAAGGGCATACTGACAAAGAAAAGGGGGACTGAGGTGATCGGTGAGGATAGGGTATATAAACCCCTAGGTCGTTTTTCAAAAATACACCTTATCTCATGTAGGTAGATGTAATGTGGCCCCAAGGTACCACGGTACGAGTGAGTTCCGTAGCATGGCTTGTGAGTGCCCCACTACAATTGTATGCACCCGATCGCAACGGACGGGACAACGAGCCCATTGCTCAGTGGTTAGAGACGTTGGACCGAGCCCAAGGATCTGCACACCTCAGGGCTAGGTACGGCTGGCTGACGACGGCTAATAAACCAGAAATGGCCATTCCAGTCTCCTTTGTCTTTGTCGGTAATGCTATTCTGTGGTTCAAAACGGCTTGCCTGACAAAAGGTCGGCAAAGGGGACCATGCAATACGCGGATTCTGATCTCCAATAGCGTTACGGACGTTAAATTTGCCCCGATCGGGCTGAAGGCTAGAGCTAGGGCTAGTTGTCCTGCCATTTGCAATCGGAAATACTACGCTGGAAGTGTGTTCGCCAAAAAAGGGTTTTTCCCACACTCCCAACATAGGCCATAGCTGAAAGCCCAGACTCGCATGACGCAACTATTAGAGGCTCGGCTCCTCAGTGGGTCCCCCAGCGTCCTCTATGCGGCTTCTAATATGAACATGAGGGCAGTAATTTCGGAAATGAGTGGCCCACATATGTACATATGCGGCAGAAGAACAGATAAAGACAAAGGAGACAGGGATGGCCATCTCTGACTTATTAACAGTCGTAAGCCACTCTTACCGAACCCCAGATTTCGCAGGACCCTGACTCCGAACCCCGATTGGTCATTGAGTGTTATTAGGTCTAGCGCTCATGACCAGTGGCTAAATGGTAGAGCGCTAAGACCGGTAAGGATAGGGTACGTAACCCCCTTGGGTGGTTTTTCAGAAATTTACCTCCAAATCTTATCTAGGTAGGTGTGGTGTGGCCCCGAGGCACGAGTGAGTTCCGTAGCGCGACCACTGAGCTCTGCTCTACCATTGTTAATATACCGATCGCAGCCGACAGTAAAACGAGCCCGTGGCTCAGTAGTTAGTTCGTTGGACTTCTAACCAACAGGTTGAAGGATCGAGTCCCAGGGTTTGCACACCTCAGGGTTGGGCGTGGCTAGCTGACGACGTCAAACAAGCCAGAAAGAGTCACTCCAGTCCCCCCTGCCTTCGTCGGCAACGTTAATCTGCGGTTCATAACAGTTGGCCTAACAGATGGAAGGCAAAGGAGTCATGCGGTAAGCAGATTTTGATCTTCACTAGTGTTGCTGACGTCAAAGTTGTCCGGATCGGGCTCAGGGCTAGGGATACGGTTGAGGTCAGATTTAGTATTAGGAGTTGGGTTATTCCTATGGCTGTGGTTGTCAGGTCAGAGTTGCGGTTGAGGCTAAGATTGGAGTTTCGAATTAGGGTTAGGAGTTTGGGCTAGGTTTTTAGGGTTTGGGTTAGGGATCTAAGGCCTAGGGTTAGGATTACGTTCGAGTTTTCCTTAAATGGTTACGGGCTAAGGGTAAGGATTCCCCGTTAGAGCCATGGCCGTGGTTGGCGTTAGGGTCGCAGTTAACTATGGTTTTTCCAGGAGGTTACATACCATAACCTTGTCGGGCGATCATTTCTGGCCTATAACCCGTTGTCAGTCATGCCAAATCTCAGGTCTGGATTACCGAACTGCCTGTCATCGGGCAGAGTCGAACTGTCGGCTACTGCTTGACAGAAGTTTCCTCAGCCCATGGTTGTTTAAGGCTTTTCTTAGACCAGAAAGCCAGCAAAAATGCGGTATGATATGAATGACCCCTGTCGACTTTAGTAATGAAGCGCGCATGAAATTACACGACGGCCCAGCCCACAGTGGCGCCTACCCCCTTTGTCAAAACGCCGTGTTGGGTGGAGGTCATATCGTGTACGGCAGGCGTAGACGGGGTGATTAGCTTTGTCAGTCACTAGCGCAAAATCCTAGCATTAGATAGCTGACCGACTCGGACAGCCAATTGACGCACGAGAGAAGGAATTGAGGGTAGAATTCATTCACACGGCACTTCAGCGCATTCATCACTACAAAAAATATGACGCGCTAAAGGTTGTGACTTGGAAATATACGAGGGACAGGGTAGCTCGGCCCTCCTCTCAGGACGGAGAGACAGGCTGCAATAGCTCCTTCTGAATGCGGCCTCCGTGGGAACCGAGCCGTCCTGCACTGGCAAGACGTTTTCCGTGAACAAATATGTTATTGACAAAATGTTAGTAAGATGTGCATCTAACATTTATATTGTATGTACCGTTGTCAATAAGGTCATCAAGGGCATTGCCTATTACCCTAAAATACACTATTACTATTATTATTATTATTATTATTATTATATTGAAAACCTGCCCCAAAGTGCGCAGACATGGCACACGTAGACGGGTTGCTTGACTATCAGATACAGCACCCGAGCCCGCCTTCGGCGGTCCTGACTCCGCCCACATGGGTGAGGAAGGAGTGAGTGCAACAGATACTACGTAAGTCTGCTAACACTATCAACTAATTAGCGAGCAAGTCACCGTCTAAGTGCCCGCCATGCGTCAGGGCACAAGGGGGTGGGCATCGTCCTTCGCGCTCAACCCTCAAGCAAGCACATATCGGATATCTGGATGATTAACGCACTTTGTCTCTAACTGGACAGAAAGCACAAAACTGTAACTTAATGAGACAACCGGGGACCTTTGGGGATTCGTGGCGTGATAATTGCTGAGAAATTGGGCTCCCCACCTTTGACACTCTTTGCCGCCAAGATTCAACAACGGTAATGAAATTACGGCGACTGAGGTGTGGACCAAATACGAGTTCCAGCGATGAACGCGGAGGTTACTTATTATAGTAGGCATGTGGTGGCATGGCAACTACGTTCTATAACTACTGCACCTCCTGCGTCCCCAGCGGTGGGTTCGAGATAGAATTTGAAGCACCAGGCCAGAAAGTTCCTTGTTCCGCAATAGAGTCTACTTCTTCGAAAGTGTTTTCCGGAACTCACCTTTACCGCCACATGATATTGCTGGATGAAGATTGCCACATAAAAACAAGTAGCCGATTTTGCGGCCGGCTCAGACGCTAACTGAAATGATAGCCGAATGGACTTGGTGCTGCAATCGGTCTGCGAGGAGGGCCAAAAAGACATTAATACTCTGCTCCTCTCAGGACGTCTTGAGATTGATTACGCGTACCTTATGAAAAGTTCTTTGCGCGTGACGCAAGTCGGACAGTGACTTCACATCGTCAGCCGGTGGTGCGGTCTTATTCAAAGTCGGTTTGGTGTAGACTTGCTGTCGGTATGAAGGAGTTTGATTCAGCCCGCATTCAGAGCTTATCCTCCCCCCTCCACTTCAAACAATAAAGCGCGCTTTGAAATCACAACGACGTCCTAACCGACGTGGCCTTGAGGGTTGTAAGCTGATAGGACACCCCAGCACCCTTTGCAACGAGGGTCAGACAGCAAAGATCCTGTCTTAATGTGACCTTCACGGTACTCTGGTCTGCGCAACATCTGAGACCCCTCAAGAATGACCGAGTTGAGCAAAGGTTTGGGGCCAGCGCGTGCGCGGCACGTGTAGATGAGCTCTGGCCGTCATAAATTCGTCTCATTAGTGAAACGCGACGGAAACGATGCAGGCCCGCCTCCCTATACACTGGCGAACAACCATCGTGCTCACTACAAGGAACAATGATGGGCTCGTGGATTGCTATGGGGGAAGGGGAATTTACCAGGCTGAAGCTGCCTGAAATCACTAAGAGAAAATAAGCAATTGCACAACGCCAGCTTGGCTCATCTGTGAATGTTCAGTATGGGTCACAACAAACTAGCAACCACCGAGGCCTTCCTGTACCCCTAGCCGAACGGGGAAATGTGTAAGCTTGTCATCTACGATAAGGCGGACTTTCGAGGACAGCAAGAAATCCCTATTACCTGATTTAAAGGTCATGCAGCTTGCCAGCTGTAGGCTGAGTCAGGATTAAAAGCGGCATCCAGGCGAACCAACACCTAGTTTCGCATTAGAAACAGCCTTCTTGACCGAATAAATCGTGCAGAGCGCTCGACGCTTTTTCACTAAAGCAAGGTAGGCACGGAGAGAGAAACCGGACAAGAGAGGAAAAGGGCATCCGGCAAAAGTCAAAAGCATCAAAACTACCATCTAATCCTCAAATCGCACGATAAAAGAAAACAAATTCACACATCCAAATACACACATAATGTTGTATTTGCGATAAAAAAGGCATCTTTCGGACTAGCTGAATTCGCGTGGTACTGTGATGAAAGGCAGTGATGAAGGAACGATGGGTGGAGGACAGAGAGTGTGTTCAGTCAAAACTGGTCCGTATTACGAGTGCGAATTGGAGCGCCGTTTTGATTGGGCGTTGGCCTGGCGTGCTGCATTCACCAGGATATTGATAAAGTACTTCTCCTTGAAGGGCTGCGTGGAGATAGGGGAGCCGGTGGCGGCGGCGGCGGCGACCGGTTTGGGCAGGTGGGGAGCACCAATCGGCGGCCAGGGGTTCCCATGCAGTTCGAGGACACCAAAGCCCTGCGCAATGTAGGCAAACTTGTCGGGGTAGGGAGGCCGTTGGAGTCGGTAGAGTTGAGTGAAGGGGCGGTTGTAGAATCGGTAACGTGGCACCAGAACCTGGAATACGCGGGAAGCTATGATAGTTAGAATGCACGCCTTGGAAGGGGGGAATGTTGGAATTTTGAGTCTGAACAGCACCAGTGAATTGAATTGATTAGACTTCCTCTTTAAAGGGGGTATCTTAGCTAGACCGCTTCCAGTAAACCGAGCCTACCTGTTTCGATTTGCTAAGGCGAGTTTGCATGATAAATCCCCAAAATTAGAACCTTATTCGCACCACCGCAAGGGGGGGGGGGAGGTGGCGACAGCCTAAAGCGATATCGACCGGACGGGACAGACTCCACAGTGGGACTGTGACAAATGCAACTGATGGAAGGGGACAGCGTACTTGGACCCAAGGCTTTACAGTTGCCACACCGAACTCTCCATCCGATGTGTCTCGCACTGCAGTCGCGGGCGTTGCACGTACACCGGCCGACATGGGCTGCTCATTGTTGAAAGCAGTCCCGTTGATTGTGATATCTTGTTGGTTGGCTTTCGCTACGGCGGTTACTTACTTGTACTTGGTACGGCCGCGATCATGCCTGATCTAGCCGGCCTCGATGATATCCCGAACTGTACCTCTCCATGCGTGACGATCCGCGGCAGCAGATATGGACAGTCCAATCCATTCCCTTCGCCAACGACGGAGACCGAATACCGAAGGTCCAAGAACCACCTCCATGTCTTGACGATCTGTGTCGAGCCAGGTTTTGAACTGACCCCCTCTTCGACGCCTCCAATGGGGCAACGGTGCCATATCGAGGGCAGTAACACTGAGCTTCTGAGGTGGACGATGAAGAACATGCCCAAACCACCTTAGTCGTCTTTCTTGGATGGCCTGAGTTATCCTTGCGATGTTGTCGCAGCGAGCGCGGACTGTCCCATTTGAGACGAAGTCGGTGAACTTCACTCAAAGGATGGTCCTCAAGCAGTCATGGTCAAATATCTCAAGTTTTCGCTCGTCTTCCACACGCAAAGCCCAGCATTCACAACCATAGAAAAGGACAGACCGGACAGAAGCACGGTACACGCGAATCTTAGAGGCGATGGAGAGGTCGCGTCGGATCTATAGGCATTTCCGAAGGCTTGAGAAAATCCAACGGGCAGCATCGATTCGGGCGACGATGTCGTCCTTACACTGTCCATTCGGCAGCAGCCTCGCCCCGAGATATTTAAAACTGTCCACTTCTTCCAGTTGAAAGCCATCAATCCCGAGGGGTGCCTTCTCCTGGTCAGGGATGCAGCTTGAAGACGCTTTAGTCTTCCCAGCGTTTATGGATAAACAGACCGATTTAGCGACCTCGTTCACCCGTGACACCGCAGACTGCAGATCACCAAAATTTGGAGCAAGTAAGTCGATATCATCGGCATAGTCGAGATCAGTCAGTCGGTGTCCGGATGCAAACTCAAAGCCGTCACCCTCGTATAGAGACCTCCCGAGGATCCAGTCCATAGCATAGTTGAACAGAATGGGTGGCAGGATACAACCCTGTCGAACGGCGGCTATCTGGCAGCTGATAGTGCGCCCTCCTGTACAGACGCACTGGTCCCGGCCCCCAGGTGGTCAGCGTCTACGGAGGTCTCCTGACGCCAGTTCCAACCAGGTTTAAGGATGAAGTGAAAGCGCCAGGAACTACACGAATATGTGCCTGGACCCGACGGAATTCCTGGTCTGATACTTAAGGAGCTATCAAAGGAGCTGGCGAAGCCTCTTTCGACGCTCTTTGAGCTGTCAATGAGAACAGGAAGGCTGCCATCACAGTGGAAGACAGCTAACCTCGTTCCCTTACATAAAGGCGGTAGCAGGATGGCAGCAAGCTGTTTCAGGCCTATTAGCCTAACCTGCCTCTCGTGCAAAACGATGGAAGCTCTAGTAAAGAGTGCCATACAGCAATTTTGTGAAGAAAATAACCTCTTGCAGGATTTCCAGCATGGCTTCCGGAGAGGACGTTCTTGCCTCTCAAATCTACTAGCTTGTCTGGAGATCTGGACCAGGGCCCTAGAAGAGGGTTTTGAAGTTGAAGTCGTGTACATCGATTTTCGCAAAGCCTTCGATACTGTCCCGCACCAACGCCTTCTTCACAAATTGAGCGCCATCGGCATCCGGGGAGATCTTCTGAACTGGATAGGGGCGTTTCTGGTTGGTCGGAAACAACGTGTTTGCATCGGTGATGATATGTCAGAATGGGTGAGCGTGACCAGTGGTGTGCCTCAAGGCTCAGTTCTGGGACCATTGCTATTCCTCCTTTATGTTAATGACAGCCTTCAGGAACTCGATTGTGGCAAAATAATGTTTGCTGACGACGTTAAGCTCTGGCAAGTCATTAAGAGTCCTAACGACCAGAGATCCCTCCAAAACAATCTTCATCGACTGCAAGCATGGTCGGAGAAATGGCTTCTAGACTTCAATGTGCAGAAGTGTGCCGTCCTCCATCTGCGTCCAACTAACTCTCATTCAAATCAGAGCCTGAGGACATATCATCTGAAAGATATAAGACTCCCCGCAGAATCTTCACAGAAGGATCTTGGGGTTTGGATACAGAACAATTTGAAACCAACATTGCAGTGCCACAAGGCTGCAAAAAACGCAATGGGAGTGATGCATGCAATCAAAAGGGCGTTCGTTACCTTTGACCAAGACCTTTTTGGGAGAGTTTACGGCACCTTCGTTCGGCCCCACTTAGAATATGGCATACAAGCATGGCGGCCATGGCTTGTAAAGGACAAAGCATGCCTCGAACGGGTGCAACGTAGGGCAACAAAGATGGTAAACGGTCTAAAAAACCAATCCTACACGGACAGACTGAATTGCCTTAATCTATTCCCTCTGTGTTACAGGCAGCAAAGAGGTGATCTAATCCTGGTTTACAAGATAATAAATGGCCTTGAGCATGGACTTAACTTTGAGGACATGTTTCAGTGGCACCTTTCACCCAATCTTCGTGGCCACTCGATGAAACTACGGACAACAATGTCCAGGCTGAACCTTCGTTCTGAATTTTTCACGCAAAGGGTAGTGGAGAAATGGAACGATCTTCCTCAGTCAGTCGTGGAGGCGACATCCCTGCAACTCTTCAAGAAACGCTTGGATGATTATTTGTGTCCCCTGTTTTCCCTCGACAGTCTAAATCTGAGCTAAACACCCCGGTTCCCCACATATTTTTTCTCTGTGACAATGCTACTCAAATGAATCAAGTACTATGTATATAGCGAACATTTTCATTGTTACTGTACAGTTATTTCTAACGAGTTGACATGTTATCAATAGGGTTTTCAAAGGCTTTGCCTATCATCCTTATCAAATAAACTGAATAAACTGAAACTGAAAACTGCTCCAGTAAGAGATTCCCCGTGCACCCCAGAACGGTAGACATGGTAGATGCGTTGGACCGACACGGGGGCTACATCGGATTACGATAAGCGTCGTTTGGAATGCGTACCCATGACAAATGCCGACAGGCACAGTTGCGGGTTTACGTTTACTGAGGTCTCCGCCGTCCCCCCATTATTTGTTGTTTGAAATGCTGGTTAAGTGGACCGGGGGTGGTACGCCTAGGTGAGGGTTTACGCCGTGCCAGTCACCTGCGCCCTCCCCCCACCTCCGGTCTTCTTCACTCTGTCTTGACACGGGGCTAAGGTGGGGGAGGAGGAGAGAGTGCGGTAGATGCGGCGCAAGTCTACTATCACTATGAACTAATTCCGGCGTAAGCCACCGTCCCCGTTTTCACCTTGCTGTGCGGTGTACACGATGGACACCGTCGAAACTAATGGTTGAACTGTCAAAAGATTCTCCGCAGGTATTATCGCCAGGACAGCCTCCTTTTTCTTTGCCACAGTTCGTCCAGAGGCCCGCTTTCTTGGGGTCGCATACCCCACAACGACCAGTGCACCAACTAGTGGTGAGAGCGCTCCCCCAGCTCTAAATGTGGGACGAGCTGAGGGTGTGAGCGTGCACTCGAGTGGGATCGAACTGTCTTATGAGTAGTGCCTCTCAGTCGACGACTGTTTGGTAAATCAACCTTGCAGGGTGACAGTCCAGGCCATGTGCGTGACCACATATCGCCCTTCTAGGTCAAAAGGTCCGCAAGCGTGTGATAAGCCAGCATCAGAAAACAACGGCCATCGCAGCCTGGTATGCGCTGGCAATCCCTGACACCTGGTTCCTTGCCAGTAAATGCGCTTGCGTTTTTGCTGGGTATAAGTGGTGGGCATGGCTGCCCAGCCGTAATCATCCTTCTGACCTCTGTTGGGGTGCTGTTGTTGTCGGTCGAAAAACCTGGCCATTCGCTGCGTGGACCAGGGGGTATGGAGTGGAACGCCAAGGCGCAGGCTCGACGGCGCCGTCTACCTGCGCTCTCCCCCGCCTCCGGTCTTCTTGACTCTGTCTTGACACCGGGTCCAGGTGGGGAGTGGGGAGGAGAGGATGTGGTAGGTGCTGCGCAAGTCTACATTCACTATAAACTAGTTCACACGCAAGTCACCCTGTATGCTTCAGCTTTCGGTGGAGCACACGGTGGACATCGTCGGCAACGACGGTCAAAATGTCGGAATCGAACTGTCCAGAATATAGTTTGTCACTTTTTTGCAGGCAAAATGGTTTTCCCAATCAGACAACTGCCGTTGATGGATGTTGATCACAAAGACTGAAATTCGAGTAATGGGGAGACACGGCAAAGTAGGCGTGTAAATCAGGTCAAAACAAATTCGAAATGTTTGAGAGTCACACCTTAAGCATCTTTGTGATCAGTTCTGGCCGTTGCAGCCAAAAGGCCGAGAGCTCCAGGAAAGCGCTCAGTTCCGGAGCCTGTTGCCAGCGGGGGCCGAAGAGCTCCTCCAAGTCGCTAATCTTCGACAAATCACCCGTCACCAGCTCTGTCCGCAGAGCCTCCTGAATCAGACGTTCGCAGTACTGCCGCGTCTCCGTGGCAACGGGCCAGGGCAACTCTATGCGTTCTTGGTCCACCAGCGCGGTGACGCAGCGACGCAGGTAGGAGAGCCGACCGGCCACCGCACCCCCGAGACCCTCGCCCCGACGCAGGGGATTTCGAAGACGCGGCACATGGAAGAGGAGGCGGTTGGCGGCCAAACCGAGTCGAGCATCTGTGTCCGAGGTGGTAGAGGTGTGGCGGAAAAAGATCTGTGGAAGACAGCCCGACTGCAAGGCCCGAGCAGCCGCTAGCCTCTCTGCTAGTAGTATCTAGATTTACAGAAACAGAGGAGTTGGTAAGGAGTCTAAATCACAACTGATGGCGCCAGAATCAGCACTAATTGCGCGCAATCCTACGTAAGGGAGCTTTGAAAAGCCGTGCAGATGTGGGGAAGCTAAGATAACCGTGAGGGGGTGTGTGTGCAAATTAACAAACGCCTGCGATTGTGAAATCAGAGTGCTGTGAGAACATTCTATAGGACGCAGAGCAAAAAGAGATGGAGGAAATGTCATCTTGGGACTGCCTATCATTGACCGCCAGGCACATGTTAGTGCAACTTTGGACGATCGCAGAAAGCAGGATTGTAATAAAGACGGGCTGAGGCGGTCACACCGTGCCATACAGTAGGCTGCTGGTTGGGCTCGAGAGAGAGCCTTTAAGGCACAACGGAACGAGTGAGTTCCGTATGAACGATCGGTGAGCGCCCCCTAACATTGTATATTCCCGATCGAAAACCGACAGGGCAACGGGCTCGTGGCCCGGTGAGTAGAGGCGTTGACTTCTAAACCAACAGGTCGCGAGTTCGAGGCTCGGTTGTTCCACACTTCGGGCTTGGGTATGGCTGGCTGACGACGGCTAATAAGCCAGAAATGGTCATTCCAGTCTCCCTTGTCTTTGTCGGTAATATCATTCTGCCTATATATCATGCGCCGCTGCGCGGCTGCTGGTTGGGCTCGAGAGAGAGCCCTTAGGGCACAACGGAACGAGTGAGTTCCGTATGAACGATCGGTGAGCGCCCCCTAACACAGTAGGGAATATTCGCAGGACCATGCTGCATGCGCGTCGAGTCAAAATGTGAGTTCGAATGGTCCGCAGCACACATTAATCGGTCTGCATTGGGTCTGCGCGGAGCCATATCTATTGCTGTAGGTGTGGTGGTACAACTAGACGCAACGTCAGGGTGCCGACTTTTAAACGAGCCCCTTTCCAGCCGCCTGCAAGAGACACATTGCAAAAATAACTACTTAAGTAGTGTGAATTTTCTCATTTGATTTCCGATTGTCCTAAATGAAATATGAACAAAAATACTTTCTTGAACTCATTTGATAGCAAACTACGTCCTTTTCGAGTTTTGTACCTGAAGGGCCTCTTTCAGTTTTTTAAAAAGTTTTCAATTGTAAGATTACTGAAGACCATGAGATGTCCATTCATAGATTATCGTATCTGTCAACTTGTTTGTGGTGCTTATAAAGCATGTAACACAAACCCAATCAGTTGAAAAATGTTATGGGCAGCACATTACACCTTAAGGGCGTACAGAAGTATACGATTTCCCTGACACAGGAGACCATTAATGCAAGTGCAAAGGCCGGCTGAGTTCAAAATTATGCGGAAAATGAATAATTCTTTTCACAAAAACCGACGGACACCCTTCCAATTGGCATAATTTGCCACTAAGTGAGCACAAGGATATTTTGGGCACGTTTTCTATAAGGTATATTTAAATAAATGAATGTATTTAACTTGACGAGAGCATCAAAAATCGGAAGAAAAAACCACACCACTTAAGTAGTCATTTTTCACCGAGTGCAGTTTTAGGCAGCCGAAAAGGAATGCATTCAAAAGCCAGCATCTTGACGTGGCTGTGGCATCTTGGGATTATGCAGCAAGATAATAAGTACAATAACCCTACATAAGTAGTATTTTCGGACCGAGAACACATCAGAATTCGGGTTGGCATTCCATCTAATAGACCATCTTCTTTGTCACCCCGAGAGCGAATTTTTCTTACCGTCGGTGAGAATCTGCGCTGGCCAACTGGACGGAGTGCGGATTTTAATTTTATTTATTTATGATTTTAACAGTGTGTGCAGTAGATGACGTATCCGAATTTCACAAATGCTTTTTTCAACTAGAAGAAATACATTTAAGTTAAGCTAGGATGTCGGAGTTCGAATGCGCATCCCTCCGGCCGCCTGCGAAAAGCACACTTGAAAGAAATGACAACTTAAGTAGCACGATCTTTCCGAAGATTTACGATTCCCATATTAAGACAGGCATCTTTTATAGAATTCATACTACTTTGGTGGTAAATCATGTCTTTCTTAACTTTTATGCTCAAAGAAATGGCATGTTTCGGATTTAAGAATTTTCACCTGAGATTTTTTAAGACCGTGAAGGATACATTCAGGTAGGACAGTCTCCGTCCGTTTAGTAACGCTTTTTCAAGGTATGCGACATGGTTCATATTCATGGCAAAATTTTAGAAAACCTTATATGGCATCTTCTTAATGGCACAGAACAATGCATGATTTTCCCTAGATGGAAGGTGTGCAGCTTGTGGTTCGGAGACGCAGGCGCGACGGCAGGTCGGGCTCAGAATTATCCCGGCATTTATGTACTTTTTAAACTGGTGGCTAAACTTTCTTCAAATATAAAATAAGATGACGCGACTTTCGACTAAGTGAGGGCAAGAATGAATATTTTGCTCATTTTTTCTACAAAATGTACTTGTATTCACAAAAGCATCGAAAAAAGTAGCACTGCATGAGAAAAATCAATTTTTAAAGTGCGGTTTTCGGAGGCGGTCGGAAAGAAGTGCATGCAAAAGCCGGCATCTGGGCGCGACTGAAATGCCTTGGAATTCTGCTGCAGAATAATCAGCCACTACAACCGCACTTAAGTAACCCTTCCTAATCGTGGGCAGATTGCGGAATTTCAGTTGACATTTTAGTGAACACACCACCCACTGTACGTGACGGCCAAAAAAGATCACCACCTCAGCCGCCACCAACACCACCAACAGCGCCGCCCACTATCGATTATAGAGAAGGCGACTTGCGCTGTACCAACATTACCGTCTCCTCACACGCACGGTATCCCTATTCACACTACTACCACCACCACCGCTGCCGCCACCACCACCGCTGTGCCAACACTACCCTCCTCACACGCACGGTATCCCTATTCCCGTACTGCGGCAAGAGTGGACCGAGACGATGGGATATCGGCGAGGACGCAGTGGCTGACGCACGGTAGACCCCTGGTAGCACACGTGCAACACAGCTGTTTGGTTGGTACGGAAGACTTCCGAGGGCATTCTAGCATCCCAGCAGCAGTGTTCATGAACCGTGCGTCGAATTCGGCAGTTAAAGCGTCTAGGGGTGGGGGGGGGGGAGGAAGGACGAAAGAAGCTTCACAGAAGTGGCGGCACGTCTCAAGCATTCAGCGAAACAGCGGCTGACAGAGGTGAATCTCTGTCCTTGCGCCAAGGGGCAAACAGGGCTTCTTGTATATGGGGTCAAATCTGCTACTCGCGAAGACCATTTCACTGATCACAGTCCCCACCGCATATTGACGGGAGAAGCATACCCTGGTGGCGGCATAAACAACCATCCCGGCCTACTGGAGGTGCGGCGGGGCTAGCCTTTTTCTGTGTCCTCATAAAAGAAGGCGGCAGGGCACACGCGCATGCAGAAGAACAGAAGCGGGGAAAAAAGGCAAGAACGCAAGAGGGAGGTAAAAGGAGTCTATTCGAGTAAATCCCAACGAAAATATCACAGTTGGATTAAATGGACGGAAGTCCAAATAAAAGACCGGAGGAGTGAAACACAAGTTGGTGGGGAGAACTTGAAGAGTCCAATTCCTGGCAGACAGACGCAAACAATCTTTTAGGATTCATGGCAAAGAGGAAGGGGAGGAGGAGTTGGATGGGGAGGGGTACGAGGAGG